CCCAGAGTCACCGTTGGGGGAGATGGGCAGCATACAAATTTAATAATAAATAAATAAAATAAATAAATAAATAAATAAATAGCTTATTTCAGAAAAGGCATGTTTAAGGTTGTGTTGTCACTAACTCAAGCCTTGTGTGACTGCAGTGTGCCACTATTTATCATGATTAAGATTCTGTTTGAGTATTGGATCCAAATGTAGTGTGATGACTCAATGAGATACTGCTAGTAGTCCATGATAACTCAGACTCTGTGTTGATATTTCATTAGGATGTGCTATTGACCTTGGTGAGGTTAAGGACAGAATCATGATATAAGTAAGCTTCCTGCCATTCTCCTCAGGTCAAAAGAAGTCTTGCTTTCTCAGTTAGCCACAGCATAAGTGTGGTGGCTTTGTGGCTTTTCTTTAAAAGAAGGGAAGAACCACAATATTATAGACAGCTTCATTGCACTGATGTGCATAGTGCACAGAAAATTGCATTGATTTTTAACGAACTATTTCTCTAAACTGTTTTCACTGATGAGAAGCTAAACATATGCTATATTCTGTATCATTTTCCACTAGTATGGTTGCTTCAAGGACACACGTACCCATGAGTTGGATTATTGAATAAAACAGAATGTGTAAGGATCTAAGACTAATAGATTCTATACACTTAAAAGGAGTTATTTTTAGAAAAATACCTTGTTGCAGTTACAAGTTCAATAAATGATGTTGCAAGTAAATAATTTTTTCAAATTTGCTTAATTATTATACATGCTTGCTTTATTTCCAATTTTATATTCCTATGAGATAGCTTAACAAATACAAATTTACTGGGATCTAATTTCCGTTTTGTCACTTAGTGGAATTCTTGGGCTTGATAAAATTTACAAAGCCTTTTAATGTCAGCCAGATTTCTGGCAAACACACTCCGCCACTTGTAATTTCTCCCTTTTTGCTGTTTTTATGTTTTTGAGTATAGAAAATCCTGACTTGCACAGGTAAGATGGTGAAAATTGCATGAGGATTACCAGAGCTTTTTTTGCAGTCTGAGGGTATTTATTCTTCACCTGTATCCAGAATTCTTCTAGAGCCAATTCCATATGCTTTAATTTCAAATTAGGATTATTGAGTTTGTCCATTAATTCTTCCTGTTCTATGAGGCTAATCTGGATTCATTTGATGTTAGTTCAGTGAAAAGGTTTCTCAAAAAAAGTTATCAGTGGATAAATTTAGAAAATAGTTCTGAATTTTATTTCCCAGTATTTTAAGATGTTTGACAGTATTGATATGACCTCATTATTTATTATAGCAACATTTGGAAGCATGACCATATTGCCCTCCCTCGCTTTCACATTTCAAATTCTGAATTTATCACTCACAGTACTTTGTCTGAGAGTAACACATTTTCAGCTTTGTCTTGTATTTGGGGTTTACTTCATTTAAATGTTCAAAGATCTCCTATTGTTTCTGCCCATCCAATAAGATCAAGCAAAAGAGGGGTCCTTTCACTCAGTGAATGCCACTTTGGAAGTGGGCCTTTTCAATTGCTCCTTCTTTGGAATATCTTCCCTCCCAAAGATTGATAGGGCTCCAACTTTACTGGACTTAAAAGTGATTAAAACCTGGCTCTTTCATCAAGATTTGATGACAAATGTATTATGAAGTATTCCTTCTTTGGACGTGGTATTCTATTTGAATTGAGTTGTTTATCATGCCTAGCATAGAATTGTGAGTTGTTTGTTACATCTTTCATTTCTATGTATATTTTTAACCTTATTTTATAGAATAAGGTACAGTGGTACCTCTAGTTACGAACTTAATCCGTTCCGTGACTCTGGTTGCAACTCG